TCTCTTATTATAGTTAATAGTCATATAAACATTGTTATTAAAATATCACATAAGTTGCTTTCTGATAAATTTAGACGCATTATGCGAAATAAAATGTTTTGCAAACGCTCCAATCACTTATCGACATGTAAACGCACTAAACCGATTTCGCAGCGTTGACACATTGTCACCTTGAAACTTATTTAAACTGGGAACTGACATTTGTATTAATTTTGACACTGAATCAATTTGTGGCATTGCAAATCTTTACAAATCCTTTGGTCCCGCATACTGTAAATCAACAACTGTTTGTTTCAAAACAAAATTATTCATTTTACGAGTAGATAAAGGCAATTTTGGTATATAAAGATGCCCAAACAGTTAAATAGTCGGTGTAAGGAACTCGTGGCCTCGTTAATGCACTACTTTGAGCAAGAAAGGGACAACAACGGGCCTTTGTTGCCTTTAAATGCTGTTCAAGAGGTAGGTTACTAATAATTATATGTAATGTATATTAATAATAGTGAAATTTTATTTCGTTTTTTGTAGCGTGTTGCTGCTGCTTTAAAAATTAGTTTAAGGACAGTTAGTCGTATTTCCGAGGGTGTGAAAAGTGATGCAAATTTAGAATCGCCCAAGAAAAAGCGGAGTTATATTAAACGTGTAACCAACACAGCGACATTGGATACAAGTGCCATTCGAGAAGTGATCTATAATATGTATCACAAAAGTAAGATCTTATTATAATAACTTATCAGAAATTTGCATTAATTTGTTAACTAAATTATAATGTCATATTACACATGGTTTCAGAAGAACAAGTTACGATACAAACTTTATGGTCTCGATTAAGAGATAGGGCATTATTTGATGGTAGTGCCACGTCTTTAAGGCGGTTGCTTAGAGATCTTGGATTTAAGTGGCTTAAGGACAATCCGCGACGAGGGCTCATGGAACTACCAAGAATAGCTTTGAAAAGGGTGGAATTTCTAAGGCAATACAATCAAGCCAAGGTTGAGGCCTTATACCAGTTTGTCTTCCTCGATGAAACTTGGATATTTCAAAATGGGACCATAGGTCGCTCTTGGCAAAATGGAAACCAAAAAAGCGTGAAAGCTATTAAAACAGATGGTAAAAGGTATGTACTTTTACACAATTTGCACTATAAAATTTAAAACTAATATATTTTAGATACATTATATTACATGCTGGAAATGAAAATGGGTTTATTGAGGGTAGTGAAGCGATATTTTCTTCGAAAACAAAATTGAGCGATTACCATGGAGATATGAACCAGGACAATTTTTGAAATGGTTTCAACATCAGTTATTAGAAAAATTGGAGAGTCCATCTATGATTATACTGGATAACGCCCCTTATCACAGCATGATATTGAACAAAGTGCCCAACAATGCATGGACAAAAAAAAATATCCAAGACTGGTTGACAAATCAAAACATACCATTTTTAAACACAATGTTTAAAACAGAGCTATTGAGTATTGTTGCTCGGTACATAATGCTTCTTAATTATATATATTTTGGTCGACAGTTTATATTTCTTTTGTTTATTCCTATTCTTAAAATAACTGCTTTTTTAGAAACAAACCACCTAAAATATACGTGATTGATGAATTGGCGGAACAACATGGGCACAAAGTTCTTCGTCTGCCTCCTTACCATTGTATATTTAACCCTATTGAGTTAATTTGGGGCATAGCAAAAGGTTACTATAACAGACATATTGGTAGAGATGGTAACAGTGAAAAAGACTGTTTGGATATGTGGAACGAGGCTCTACAAACGGTTACCCCAGACATGTGGAAAAATAGTGTTCGACATACTGAGCAAGAAATTTTTAAATGGTATGAAAGAGAACGAATTTTTGATCGACCAGACATCGAACCTTTAATAATCAACTTTGAGAGTGATGAAGATTCAGATTCAGACAGCGCTGAACAAAGAAACTCCGACTAACTTTATTGTACAGAAAAAGCTTACACCAGTAGCTTACCTAATTTTAGAATGCATTTTTCTGTATGAATTCTGTAAAATAAATACCATGCATAAAATTTGGAGGACCCCATTTGGATTTTTCTTCAGTACCTTTAAGCTATCAATTAAATATGGTAGTTTCATAGTGTCATCTGATCAATAATTGTCATACTTAATGATTATGCAAGTACAGATCTATAATTTTATTATAATATTATTTTTGTTCTCATTTGAGGTTAATATTGCTTATAAACCTAGATATGTAAATAATAAATTTTATTATTTTACAAAAAGTTTGGCAACAATGTAAATTTTTCAACACACCCACCTTGATGACGTGCACGCCACTTTGTTTGGCGTTGACTATACATGATGTCACCTTGTGTTTCATTTCGTTACAGCCGACTATACAGTAACGAGTAAAATTTCTTGCCTTGTGAAATTCTCAAGGGAATTTTAACGCTACTATGTCACTAACATAAAACTTGAGGTCTACCTCGGGCGGGGCTCAAAGAAACTGGCAGATGCGCTCAGAGGATTTTAGTTATCCAATTTTTTGTTGTATAATTTCTCGGACTGGGACATTCGTTGGCCGGGGAGGAGTCTCTAGTTTTTTGGTCACTCGACAAGATCCCGCATGCTAATCATCAAGAACAAGTGATATTTTTCTTCTGTGGTGAATGCTTTGCTACCGAATTGATGGGCTGTCGCATATTATACCCCATCCTACATCAATAGAATGGAGAGCTTCTGGTTTCCACGTCTGGACCAGGTTGCGGGAAAACTACGGCAATTGTGTAAAGAGAGAGATCTTACTGCCCTTGCGTCAAATATAAAATCTAGGAGTAATACTGGTACAGATGAGCTTTTGCGTCAGCGGGACGTGAAACGGAGTGGAAGCTGCACCTGTCAATGTCCTGATTTAGGTTCAAGTATTCGGTGTTTCTGAAATTTCACTTCTAGAAGTAACGCAAGAATCTGATGGAGGGACCGAGGACGCCACTTCCACTAATTCTGAAGCTTACCTTGGTTATCGTCACTGGAAAGCTGTTATTCCAATCAACATCGATAATCCATCATATATTGTGGGCTTAGATTACGGTAGGACCTTTGTCGGGAAGAAATACATGTCTGGTTTCCTACCTTGAAATTTCTTACCTTAGAGGTGATAAGAGATCAATATATAATTGTGTGAGCTATCAGTCTTTTACCCAAAATGCTAACGATGCAGACATAAGATGGTTTTTGAAGGGCATTTACAGGCTGAGGCCATCTCAACTGAAATATAGATAATTTGGTTGTTCTCAATCAGCCAAGAGTAGATATTTGGATGAGGAAATCAGCAATACTGTTAGCTCCAACCTCAGGTTAGAGTATGCAAACTAATTGAGACAGACAACATTGGGTTGAATGATACTGAAATTGCGATTTCTGAGTTTTTAAAAGTCTCGGGGCCACTCATGTGGCAACCACTTAAGCTTTACCGTATTTTACGCCCAAATATCTGTGCAAAGCATTTATTTGTCACTGTACAGTAACTTTATCATAATGCCTCGGCTCCGAGATGGATGAAGTCGGTTTTAGAGAGTCACAATTGACAACCCACAGTACATGAAATACGTCTACCTCTCCGCCTGCTAAATTATAGTAGTCTCAGGCTCGCGGCATGCTGGAGTGCGTTTTCTGAGATACGTCACAGATCTCGTACGCCAAACAATAGCTTTGTTCAAACGGCATTTGAGGTGAACCAAGTCTCCACACCTTGAACACAACTACAACTACATATGTAATTATTTGCTCATTACCCTGAAATGGATGGTAATTTTTGAATCAGTTACGTCATATTACCTCTTGCGAAAAGCCTTGACTTGAATTGTTACAATGGAAATGTATATTTAGTTGACACATACATTGCGTACAATTTGTGTAGTGGTATACAACCTATCATTTACTATTGCAGAGTGTTGGTAGTATGTTGTTGCAACTAGCTTTGAACATCTACGATATGTATTCTAGTCCTCGTCGAAGTAAATAGCTCCCTCGCTCCCTATGTATCACTCAATTGTTGCAATAACTTGGCTTTGAAGCGAATGAAGGTTTATAGATGACCAGAGGGGAGAAAGGTAGGGGGAAGGGGCGCGGTGCCGCTTTCCTTCTCTGCCTGCGCGCTTTGAAATCCTGGCGGTTGGGTACTACTACGAGGGTCCTACGATACGTATTCTAAATATTTACTTCGACTTACAGCTAAATTCGTTTGATCATGTAATTATGCAGATTGCTTGGATCCCAGCTTCACTCAAGAGAATTGTAGTAGTGGTTGTTAAGTAAGCATCACACAATTACTAATTGTAATTTGGAGGGTAGGGGGAGGTCCCCTAGTGGCGGACACCTAAGGTTTTCAGAAAACCCAACAAAAACTACTTCGAAAAATGTAACTTTATTTATGTATCAGTCAAGACAATAAAACAAATCAACAAAAATTTACAACTTTTGCACAAACATAATTAGGAGCCTCATTTAAGTTATGGTAAAGAAAGATGCAATCTTATTGGACGACTCAATTTCTACCTCCAAGCACCGGCGGCCATTAAATCATCGTGCATCGATCGCATATATAGGCACCTCCACATTCAGGAATATCTGTACATGCTTTGTGACCCACCCTTGGCAGCTGCAGCATTGTATCCAGTCGTGGTGTTATAAGGACACTTCGCAAGTAGTTGTTCTCTGTGATAGATGTTTTACATAATGGTTCCCTTTTCTTAGTTTTTTCTCCACTTTTTTCTTTAGCTTTCACACCTTTGGTTTGTTTCCCCTTCTCTCCGATGGCTCTGTTGACTTTCTTTATCATTTCTTTTTTTTTAAGGTTTTTTCCATTCTCTTTTTCTTCAACACCAATTTTGTAGGCAGACGATGTAAGAATTTCAGTTCCGAGCTACTGACCTTCTGATGGCAGCATCTGGCAATGGCGATAATTTATGGACTAGCTGGACAACATTTAGATCAATACTTGTGGACGGTTTGAGACTACCTAGTTATTGGTTCATTGGTAGATTCTGTGGGAGGGGCTCTGGATTCTTTTAAGATTAAATTGTTTGAGAGTTCTGCATCGGAGGGCATAGATGAGCTACCAACCAGAGCTGAATCTGTGGAAGTCACAGAAGCTTCTCCGTCCCAACTTGGTACGTTTAAGGAAGCTTCTGGCTCTTCTAGCGGAATATTGGTTATGTTTCAGCCAAATAATCCAGGTCAGAGAACACATGTCTACCAAACGGGTGAATTCCTGTGCATTTAAAACCAGACACCGCCAAATCGAGCCGAGCTACTTTGGTAAACGCTTCATTGATCAGACCAGCAATATCGTAATCGATTATCCGAGATCCAGCTTATTAAGTGAATGTCTCCTCAAAGATTTATAACCACCAGTGTTTTATGACTACAATGGCCATTCAGTAGAAGATGCACTGGCTTATCTTTTGTCGGGTGTGAGTGTTTCTCGAATAACTGCCCACCATTGTATAATAAAAACACTGTTCATCCAAACTTTTGGCAGAGGCACACCAATGCTTTCGGCTGGAGCGTTGATCATAAGTCGATCATTCATCCTTTGCCAACAATATATTATATATATATATATATATATTATGAGTGTATCGACGGTTAGTTCAAGAAACTATTTATAAACTGTCCGAAGATAAGGGACATTTTTGTGTCCGGTACTAGGAGACAGGGAATCCCCAAAATAACGTGCTGCACACTAAAATTGTTTGAGAAATTAAAAAACTTTCACAGTGTACAAATTATATTGGAATACTATCTATCGGGATGTACGCATACAAATTCAATTAGTTTTTCATCATTCATGTTTTGGATCAATTACATCAAAATATTCACGAAATTACATAAAAACACGGCCGTGAAAATCGAAAAATGTCGTTCCAAAACAATGAGATGATCACGGTATGGCGTCGTCGAGGACACTGAGAACACGGCCTCTTCCACGGTCTAGTGTGAATCAGTTCATCCAAATTCCAGGAAGAATCTTTTTAGTTTCGCCGGGCGGATCGCGTGCCGGTCACAGCACTGACATGTCACGGCTGACTGAATAGGCCTTGACGCTAGGCGCCATCCGGCGTTGCGGAGCTTTCCTCCACTGCGTTTCTTCGGACTTTTGATTTTGGTTGCTATTTATACTACAAGCGATAGAGGATCGACAAACTCTTTATTTTTCAATTGCGTAACATAAAAATATTTTGGACTTTGAGAATTACCAATTCCATCTATCTGAGACCATGTTAAAAAAATCGCTTTACGACACTCCCAATAAATCCCCCTACCGGGTCGCTCCTACACTAGCTTCATTTCAAACTTTTCTGTAATATACACAATATCCTGCTGTATTGTTTTCATAACTGCACAATTACCAAGCCTATATCTACGTTCAGGCCCACTGGTCATTTGTTTACATCCCACATATCCCGCCACAATACCCTCCCTTTGTTCCATTTATTAGCACAGCAAATTATTCCGTTGATTTAACGCTCTGTTCTGCTTGCTGTGTCAACTCAATTGTTGTAAATCTGTTTATAATACATTCGGTACTAATACACTTTAGTTTAGATTAAGCTTGGAATGTGTACTTATTTTAGCCTCAAAGGGTGAAATCATAATAAGTTATTATTATATCATTTACAAAGCAAAAAAAGATGTCGAATTATACCTGATTATCTCTAGTCACCGAATGTCCTGAACGTTATTGTCATTTATGGACTTATACTTTGCAATGTATCCAAATCATATACAACGTAAACAGTACGTATAAATGAAATAGAAAATGGAATATCGACTAGGAGTGGTGTAATTTTGAGCATGCTTTTAAACCTACTGATAAATAGAAAGTAATTAAAATTTCAACTCGAAATTTCGCTGAGATACCCCACATTAATGTTAATTTTTGTGATTAGTGGAATGCATTGGAATGGTTCAAAAGTATGAATGAATCGTTATCACTTAATCTCGACTAAAAGACTGGAATATCTACTCTTTTAGTGTTTCTATATTTCTTGTGGTAGTGTTGCATAAAGTAGTTTGTTTGCAAACTATTCCCCTGAACTAGAATCGGAAGAATGAGATTCGCTTTGCATATGTGGCTCAGAAAAAAAGTGTTTTCTTCTGATAAAACTAGCGCAGTTATTGTGTTTAAAATACATCTACCTTAGCTGATCCCGTTGATCCTAAATTTACTCACAAAACAACATTAGACAACTCTTGTGTCGTGTCTCGTGCTGTAATCTGTCAATGAAACAGATTTTTCATTTCTTTGTCCCGTTAAGTGTTATTATGGTGAATTATCGAAAAAAAAGAATTGTAAATCACGAGCAAACAGCATTCAAAGATAGACTTCAAATCACAAGACAGTACAAAACACCAGCAGGAGTTGCTTCAGGTCGTGAATACCCAAATCTGACTTCTAAAAACGTTCCATGCGTGTCGGAATTCTTATTTAACCTTTTGGTGCCTGACAAAAATCACTTTCCCCACTTGCAGTGCGGTGAGTGTTATTTTCGTCCACCGATCAGTATGCATGAAATGTCCCATCACTGTCCTATGAGTGATCTTATAACAGCTTGTACTCGTATTATTGACATTGCTATTTTAAAATTCAAAAAAGCACGTATTCGTCACGACAGCGCGAGTTAATAACACATGCTATTACGTATATATCTCTCATATCCCACCAAATGTCTATATACATATTGTCACGTGCCAAAATCATGTAACCTTTCTTTTTACTATTTTGATCACTTATCAGTAATTTGAATTTCACTTCATTAATAGTAGAGTGCCCATTACTATGCCAAACCTTTTTTTAATGATTTTCTTTTGTCAAATTCGATAGTTTATTGATTGTAAAATTTCTCACGTATTATATCTGTCACTCTCAGCTACTCAATATTGTATTGAAACCTTTTGGACGCTTATGTTATAGCATTATTAACAACTATCTTAGAAATTTCCTCATAAAATATCGTTGGACCCTCGAAGAGTTGGCAACTAGTGCGCCACCTTGTGACTTTACACGTACTAGCCGCATAGGGATATTTCATTCTATCAACTTACCCTCTTCAAGGTAATTCATTTAACCTTCTTTTAATGTTTACTTTCCTATCAAGATACCTTCTGTTAAAATTTGATTTACTATCAAGTTACCTTCTTTTGAAATGTGATTTACTATCAAGATATGTACCTTCTTTTAGTTACGTACCGACGCGCCCAGCGCCATTTTACTTTTGCTTTTCCGCTGTGATTTTGGTTGTGTGCGAGCGTTTTTTCGTTAACTTCCAAATTTTGAGATACTAACGCCTCAAACACCAGTTTATGGAGTAGTACCCTTTCATTTTGTACCTTCCGTTTAGTTGTTTTGGTTTAAGTCTACCCCGTTCATTTTGTAATGGGATTTTAACCTCCAGCGGTAAGTTCTCTTTTGTATACCATCGGACTACGTCCATTAATGCTTGTCCTGAAGAAGTTTGTTCAATATCTGATTCCTTTTAGTGGAAAGCCATTGTGGAGAACCATCATTCATACACCTCCAGCTTTGTTTTTTAGCTGCCTTGTAGCTGTTTCGCAGCCGATTTTGTCGGCAGTCATCCCTTCCCTTTGCCAAAAAACCCTGGTGTGAAGAGGTAAAACATATCATTTTAATTGGGTATTTTATAGATATAGATATATTGATTGTTGCTGACTGAAATTCTTAGAGTGTCCTTGATTTTGTTTTGCATTTTATGTGATCAAATATAGGGCAGTGCCTACATGTCACCGTCTTTTGGGTTTATTACATTACATTTATCATGATTTTGAATTTTGAGTTGGCATAACTTATTTTAGAACAAGGGATACATTCCTGAGGCTGTATCACTTTTGTTAATTCTTATATGTTCTTGCTCTTGCTTGATTTTTCTTCAAGTTTGAGTGTTTTAAATGTGTAGTTCTGTCTCGGACATAGAGAAGAGAGTAGATTCTCCAACAGTCTTTTTCTCTCTCTAGGGTTTTCTTATACTATAAATTTTGGAAACGAGGCAAGCCGTCTCTACCTTAGGACGTTCCTAACGTCACTGCTCACTACTGGCCACTGGTTTTTGACCTGAGTGTTTATAAGCTGTGGATATCTCAGCTGTACCTAGAACTGCAACTGGAAGAAGACCATTATCCAGATAAGACCATTATCCAGATAAGTGTAAGGTTTATATTTGTAAAGCCTTCGTACGTGTACCATGGCAAACATTTTGCAGGGTTACTTATTACAGTCTATTAATTGTATTGCCAGGTAGTTTTTAATAACGTCCTTTCTTTTAACTTGCATTCCAGTGGTGGAGCATATGTGCTGCTTGGTTTGATAATATATTATGATCCTTTTTTTTAATATCTTGTTTTATTTGGCTCTCTGTATACAGCTAATTAGGTTTCATCATTAGTATTAGATTCTTTTCTTTGTGTGGTGATCAGGCAGAACAAGTTCCGACTAACAACTCGGAGATTTGTGGCTTAATCCGTCTTGAGTCACTGGCGCTCTTAACCCCCGTCCCTACTCTCCGTTTTATTGAGCTAGGGCCTCAGTTTGCACGCCATTTGACAGCTGTTTTGCATTGATTAGATTTCATTTATAGTAATTTATTAGTTATTAAAAAAAAAGTAAAGAGGAACCACCCCACCATTTCCTCTCGTTACTTATAAAAAAAGGCGTGGCAATATATAAAACTCTAGCAATCTCAGATTTATATGTTGAGCTGGATACGTTGCGGGGTATTATTGCACAATCTGGTAACCATGGCGCACCCTCAGAAATGGCCGCTGACATGACATAAAGTCAGGCGAGCCCTCCTTGAATAGCGTGGACCGTGGATTTAAACTTCTACAGTATATATGCCTTGTGTCCCCACCAATCAAAAAACTTAACGACCAATATTTGATAGCTATTATAATTTTTTTAGATTTAATTATCCAGTAATTTTTAGTAACTTTAGGTCTATGTGTATGACAATTCCATTATACACCACGGAGATGTAGCGATTGACATATTCTACAGATACCTGTGTTTCTGATATGGAGAGTACATACTGTTTTGATGGCTTCGAAGAAATTGATTAAGCGATAAATTGATAATAAATGATTATTACTAGGATGTAACGAAAGCTGAGGAATTGGT